CAGAAAAACTACTGTATTGGCAATCTTAGCTTTTAGCTACTGTTCTATTTATTTTTTACTTTTAGTTATTATTTTAACCGATTTTAGCCTATAGCTACTGTTTTATTTGTTTTAGCTTTAAGCTACTATTTGGCTGGTTTTAGCTTTGTTTTGTTACTGTATTACTAATGTCATCTTTTAATCTCATATTTTTTTAGCATTTAGCTACTGTTTTGTTGGTTTTAGTTTTTAGTTACTCTTTTGTTAATTTTAGCTTTTGGTCTAATTTTAGCTGATGCTACTTATCATTTGTTTTGCTAATTTAACTTTCAATTAAGCTTCATTAACAGCATTCAGAAAAGTCACTTGGTGTTCAGATTTTAGCTGCATTTTTACATAAAACACATATTTATTCTTAAATTCTCAACTTTTCTTTAACTCCTGGACCTTTTATTTCTCAGGAATATTTACGTTTTCTACCGTTTATATATAAATATTTTAGTAAGAAGTATTTATGAAAATGGTGCTCCTGTTAGTTTTCCTGTCAGGATCCTGGTAGTTGATTCACTTTGATATTTAAAGTGCAGAACTGATCATCTGTGAGCTGATCTGGTTTCTGTGGAGTGGACCGTTACTGAACCACAGTTTGGTGAAACACCACCCCCATGTGTCCATTGGAAGAACTGCAGCTGACTTTCTGACCTGTCTGTGTGTTTCAGAGTGTAAGGGGATGAGTAACCAGCTGACGTTGCTGGGCAGTCATGATAATCACTACAACAAAATGGTGAAGATGTACTCCAACTGCAGCGTGGTTCTGGAGAACCTGGAGATTACCTACACTCTGGAGCACCACGACCTCTCCTTCCTGAACGTAGGAGTGTGCCATGTCCAGTGATCAAACTCTAAATTTTCATCAGAACGTATTGAAACAGTTCACCTTCTTCTCGCCTGCTTTAGTCCATCAAAGAGGTTGGTGGCTACGTCCTGATCGCCATGAACGAGGTGCCCACCGTCCCGCTGAGCAATCTGAGGCTGATTCGAGGTCAGAGCCTCTACGATGGACGCTTTGCCCTGCTGGTGATGTCCAACTACAATAACAACTCATCTGCAAGCATCAGCTACACCAGCGGGCTCAGACAGCTGCTGCTCAGCAACATGACCGGTGGGTACAAATATAAAATTTAAAAAGCCCAAACTTTACCTGTGATTGTGTAAAAACAATTAAAGGTCTCAAAACAGCAGTTCAGTCATGGAAAGTCCAACTTTCTGTGACCCGTTTAAACTCTGAATGATGGTTCTGCTGAGAAGTATGAACTGGGAGTCCAAACAGGACTGGGATTTTACCTTTCACTTCTATTAGAACCAATTCTTTGGTATGGGAGCATTTTCTGCTCTGATTTTGTCTGCGTCGTTCAGTGTTCTACCAAACGTGGAGCTGAAAAAAGTGTATTTTTGTATAGATTAAAAAGAAAAATTGTGCAAGATATATTGCAGTTGAAGAAGAGCCAATGTTTTTTGCGTGCCAGTATTTAGTTTTTACATTGCAGGAACAAAAGGTCCGTTCCCTTTTTATCTTGATCTCATTCTGTGTTCGTTGTTCTCTGCCACATGTGGCTGAACACGCCGCCGAGGAGTGGCAGCGATGCTTTATGGGAGATGGCTGTGAGCCCGGGGGGGGGGGGGGGAGGAGTTGGTATGTTGTTTAAAACTCTTCTTTCAACAGCAATTGAAAACTGGCACCAGGAAATAGACTGCTCCCAGGCGATCACTGGCTGATGACATCAAATTTGCTTTGATGAATTTTATGTTATCGTTGTAATCTTCCTGCTGTCAACAAAAGGGCAGATGATGATGATGATGAAGAGTTGACTGGTTTTGTGGTAGGAAGGTTGGCGGATCTTGTTGGACAGTACTTATCTCCAGTAGATACCCTTGACCAGAAGATTTGAGAACGCCACAGTCGTTGGTTTTCACAGAGTTTGCTGCTGTAGTTTTAGATCTTCTTGTTAGATGGTTCTGTTGTATGTTGAAGTATTAACACCAGCATACCAGAAGTTTTATTTATAATTACATCAAGTTTTTGCAACATGTCAGATAATGGAGTCCTGGTCCTTTTAGGAACTCTGCAGTTCATGCTGGGATGTTAAGGGTCTTGCTCTAGGGCCTACATTGGGGCAACGTCTCCATCTTCTGTCACTTATCTGGGCTGCAGAGGCAACAGGTTCAAGAGAGACATTCCTCTCCTCAGTGACACTCTCCAGCTCTTCTAAGGGGTCATTCCCAGGCCAGAGTGGATATAAGTGTTATATGTTGTCATCATTGTATGTTTCCATACAATGACAGAACTGGTTCTCTGTATTTAACCCATCACACTTAAGATACACCCAGGTGGAGCAGTGGGCAGCTATGTAGGCGCCCGTGGAGCAATTAGGGATTGGGTGTCTTGCTCAGAGACACCACATGTGGGAATGGCTGGGAGTCGAACCACGACTTTCTGGTCCCAAGTCGGCTGCCCTACCTCTACCCCATCTTGGCCCCCATATATACAGTAATCCCTCCAGCGAGTTCTGAGTCTGAAGACTCTTCCCATAAGAACATGTCCAGAAAACCTCTTTGCATCCTTATCAGATCCCTTCGATATAAAGGAGCACAGCTCCACTCAGAGTCCCCCACTGAACGACATCCCCTCCTTAAGGAGGAAGTCAATTTCACTCGCTTGGAGCCAGGATCTAGTCTTTGGGTCCTGATCTTCATACCCACAGGTGAGGGGTAGAACGTAGACAGACCAGTAAATCCAGAGCTTTGCCTTTCGACTCAACTCCAACGCTGTCATTCAACAATTTCCTGGGGGATCAATAAAGTTCTATCTTGTCTTATCTTATTACTGAGGACGAGGCCCCGATTCGTTGATCCATCTCAGGAACGAGATGCCCAGATACTTGAACACCTCCACCCGAAGCAAAGACACCCCCCCCCCCCCGACCTGGAGATAGATTTAGGTTACAACTTTTTCTAAACCTGTGGGCATCTTGCACTCCTAGATCTCAATGTTCTTTCTTTTCTATCTGCTGCAGGTGAAGGTTGGACTGAGCTAAAAGCTGTGGGAGGGGATATAGAGTGAAGCCACCCTTTTCTGTAATCATTTTAAACTTGTAGCTAAGAAAGTAAAATGAGGATCAATAAGCACTACCAGATTTTTGTCTTTTTGCTGGGAGTGATTAAGTGTTTTTAGGTATAAAAAAAATGGGGGCGCAGCTGCTCCACCTGCTCCATTCAGCAGGCGCCGTTGGGTGCATTTGTGTATTTACTGTATATATAAATGGGCATAATTATCTCACATGGAAATATATTTATTTTATTTCCTCTCAGAGATTTTAACCGGAGGAGTGAAGGTGATCCATAATCCTCTGCTGTGTAACGTGGAAACGATCCAGTGGTCGGACATTGTGGACAAAACCCGTAATCCTGTCATGCAGATGGTGATGGAAACCATCCCACAACATTGTATGAAAAGCAGCCGTGACATTCTTTTTTTTTTTTCTTTTTTTTTTAAATCAACATCAAAATGTAAATATATAATATGTCTGTTTGTGTTTTTAGGTGAGAAGTGTGACCCCGGGTGCTTTAACGGGTCGTGTTGGGCAGCCGGACCAGAGCACTGTCAAAAATGTAAATTTATTCTGCTTGTTTTTAACACCATATTGTAATTTTACATTTTTATTTTTAGACTTGCTTTTTGTAAGCAGGAAGTCGTAACCCAGTCTTTCTCCCTGCCTTTGTTAGTCACCAAGCTGTTGTGTGCACAGCAGTGCGATATAAGATGTTTTGGACCCAATCCTGGCGACTGCTGTAACAAACACTGTGCTGCAGGCTGCACCGGGCCCCATGCAACCGACTGCCTGGTCAGTGACCCAACTGAACGGGACACGTCTATCTACAGTGGGGTTGCGTTAGTCGATATTTCAGCTGCTTCAATTGCTTCAATAGTTTCAGGTCTCTCTTGTAAATGAGTCCTCAAGGCTCAATGGGACTAGTCTGTATAAATAGATGTTGAATGAAAAATAGCTGATTGGAACTGGGACAACAAATTCAGTTCATTTTATTTATATAGCACCAGTTAGCAACCAAAATCATCTCAGGGCGATGTACAAAAACATTCACATACTTTGTAATTACTTAGTAAAGATAATCTGTCTGCTCATTAAGGTTAAACAAATCAAACATGGGGACATTAATTGCAGGAATCATCTGTTATAAAGTTTAAACTCCCCTCTGTCTACTTCCTCTGCAGGCCTGCAGGGATTTTAACGATGATGGAACCTGTAAGGACGCCTGTCCTCCTATGAAAATCTACAACAAAAAAAACCAGGTGGTTATGAACAACCCCAGCGCCAAGTACACGTATGGAGCCACGTGTGTGAAGGCCTGTCCAGGTAAGAAGGATCATATATTTATTTTAAAGATGTTTATGTCATGAACTCCTGCTAGTGCTCCATGCATGTAACATCCTAGTGAAGTAGGTAAACGGTTTAGTTGTGTCTTAAGAAGTTAAAAGATTTTTTTTTAAAACAGATCCTGTTGGGTTGTTGTTCCCTTTGTCTCGTCTTTTGTAGCCTGAATTTATGTTTTTTGGATAGATAATTACGTGGTGACAGAGGGTTCGTGCGTTCGCTCATGCAGCACAGGATCATATGAGACGCAGGAGAACGGAGTCCAAATCTGCAAACCCTGTGAAGGACCCTGTCCCAAAGGTAGAGACCCACATACAAACCACAACAACAGAACCTAAATACCAAACAAAAAGCCTGAGCAGGTCTTGTTCTTCCTGCAGCCTGTGACGGAATCGGGTTCGGCTCCCTGACCAACACCATGGCTGTCAATTCCTCCAACATCGACTCCTTCAGGAACTGCACCACAATCAACGGGAACATTATATTCATCAAACCCTCCTTCAGTGGGTGAGATGTTCTGATTCTAAAATCTACCTCCAAGTTAAACTAAGTGGCAGCAACTCAAGACCTACAGGACAACCTGAATTGGTACCAGCCGAAGGGTTCTTTGTAAAGTCCAGTTTGGTTCTCACTCAAGACAAGAGTGAGTGAGAAGTCTGAATATTATTCAGGTGTACCATCTCAACAGACCTAACAGAAAGAGCTTCAGGTGCTTAAGCTTGAAATCTAAAATATACATATTAAGAATTAGAGGAAATTGCTGCCTCTATATCATCATACCTAAATCTAATTAAACAAATCAACATTTAGGCCTTCAGGACTCCTTTAGGTTGTCTGCCGAACAGGACTGGTAAACCCTGATAGAGGCCCTTGTCCATGAGATTTTCAACTCACACCTCTGCTAGAATTTGGGTGAAGTCAGATCCATGAAATTCAAATGGTTTTGATGCAGCTTTGATGGAGCTGTGGCCAGAAGGTCATTAGTGTCTATCACAGCAGCAACCAAACAATCAGTGGTTGCAAACCAACCATGGATAATAAACTCATAAATAAATGTAATTTATTTTATTACTTTATTTTGAGTGGAGTTTGCATGTTCTCTCCGTGCATGCGTGGGTTTTCTCCGGGTGCTCCGGTTTCCTCCCACAGACCAAAAACATGCATGTTAGGCTGATTGGTAACTCTAAATTGTCCCTAGGTGTGAGTGGGAGAGTGAATGGTTGTTTGTCTCTATGTGGCCCTGCGATGGACTTGCGACCCGTCCAGGGTGTACCCCGCCCCTCACACAGTGATTGCTGGACATGGGCACCAGCGACCCCCGTGACCCAAAATGGAACAAACGGGTAAAGATAATGGATGGATGGATGGATACTTTATTTTCTATTTTATTGATTCATTCCAGACATGTCAAAACCACTGCACACTGCGCAGCAACACCAGTATGAATCTGGGCATACATACATACATATATATATATACCTACACATATACACACATACATACATGCACATTTGAACACACAGAACCCCTTGCAAAACAAACCCACATCTGCAAAAGCATCTGCTTTGACTGAACGCACAAAAAATAAAAAAATAAGTTTATACCCAATGTGCACACGCCTATCCATGTACACATACCCATATACATGCACACAAATCCAATGTCTGAAAACGAATAGGAAGAAGGAAAATTATTTAATCCTACCCCTTTTCCAATACTCCATGGTTACATCTTACACTCATCCAGTTTTCCAAGTCTTATGAGTCTCATGAGAGAATGAAAAACAAAAAAACAAAAAAAAAAAACAAACAAACAAAAAAAACAAAACAAAACAAAAAAAAAAAAATATATATATATATATATATATATAAGTAATCCAACATTACTCCAATGGAAAATTCTAGAGTTTTAAACTCACACCCAAAGTTCTTCACCTGCAACCACACACTCTCATATACACATTTATACACCCACACACACAATTCCAGCCACCTCTCCAATACAACCTGACATATCCAATGATGTCCTCATGGCTGCTGACACTGGTTCTCCCTCCCTTCTTGTTATCCTTGACCTCACTGCAGCTTTCGACACTGTGGACCATAGTATCCTCTTTCACCGTCTTCATGTGGAGGTCGGTCTCTGTCACACTGTCCTGGACTGGTTTAAATCTTTCCTCTCCAATTGGCTGGAATGTGTTAGTCTTGGCAATGCAAAGTCCCAGACTGTCTGTGTCTCATGTGGTGTCCCTCAAGGGTCAGTTCTAGGGCCCCTGCTATTTTCCCTTTACATGCTGCCTTTAGGTCAAATTATTAATCAGTACAACGTTTCTTTTCACTGTTATGCCGACGATACACAGCTTTACATCAGGACGGGAGCATCATCTTCATCGTTGTCATCTCCATCTTCACTCACTGCCCTCTCTACCTGTCTGGAGGAGATAAGGGCATGGATGAATCCGAACTTTCTTCAGTTAAACTGCTCCAAAACTGAGGCCATACTAAGTTTGTTTTCTCAGTCATCCAGGTATATAACAACAAAAAAGGTTGAATCATGTCATCTGGACTTTGTTTTTTTTGTTAAAAAGAAACGTTTCGCCCCTCATCCAAGAGGCTT